ATAAGTAATGACATTATATACACATCATAAGTAGTGACATTATATACACATCATAAGTAATGACATTATGTTACCAAAATAAGTAGTGACATTATATACACATCATAAGTAGTGACAATATATACACATCATAAGTAGTGACAATATATACACATCATAAGTAATGACATAATGTTACCAAAATAAGTAGTGACATTTTATACACATCATAAGTAATGACATTAAATACACATCATAAGTAGTGACATTATATACACAACATAAGTAATGACATTATTTTACCAAAATAAGTAGTGACATAATATACACAAAGTAAGAAACATACTCTTCATGTTTATGTCGAGTTTGACCTTGACCTTCCCTATCTGCGACTATGAGTTCTCAGCCAGACAATGCAATCCTTGTAAACGACACTGATAACAAAACCGATGTGCGTTATTGTAGATTGCTGGGTTAAACCTGATTTACCAAAATTTATCATCAATCCCATGTCGTGTAAAATATTGGCTTAACATACGTTGCCATTACCTATCTCCTGTATACGTATTGACATAACTTACCTTTCCATTACCTATCTCCTGTATAAGTATTGATTTAACTTATCTTGCCATTAGCTATCTCCTGTATAAGTATTGACTTAACTTACCTTGCCATTAGCTATCCCTGTAGAAGTATTGACTTAACTTACCTTGCCATTAGCTATCTGCTGTATAAGTATTGACTGAACTTACCTTGTCATTAGCTAGCTCCTGTATAAGTATTGACTTAACTTACCTTGTCATTAGCTATCTGCTGTATAAGTATTGACTGAACTTACCTTGGTATACGTATTGACATAACTTACCTTGCCATTAGCTATCTCGTGTAGAAATATTGACTTAACTTACCTTGCCATTAACTATCTCCTGTAGAAGTATTGATTTAACTTAGCTTGCCATTAGCTATCTCCTGTAGACGTATTGACTCAACTTACCCTGCCGTAAGCTATCTCCTGTATAAGAATTGATTTAGCTTACCTTGTCATTGACTATCTCCTGTTTAACTTTTGACTTAACGTACCTTGCCATTAACTATCTCCTGTATAAGTATTGATTTAACTTACCTTGTCATTAACTATCTCCTGTTTAACTTTTGACTTAACGTACCTTGCCATTAACTATCTCCTGTATACGTATTGATTTAACTTACCTTGTCATTAACTATCTCCTGTTTAACTTTTGACTTATCTTACCTTGTCATTAACTATCTCCTGTTTAACTTTTGACTTAACTTACCTTGTCATTATCTATCTCCTGTTTAACTTTTGACTTAACGTACCTTGCCATTACCTATCTCCTTTATAAGTATTCACTGAACTTACCTTGTCACTTCCTATCTCCTGTAGAAGTATTTATTTAACTTACCTTACCGTTAGCTACCCCTGGATAAGTATTGATATAACTTACCTTGCCGTTAGCTATCTCCTGTTTAAGTTTTGACTTAACTTACCTTGCCACTCACGTTGTGCAATAGCTTACCATCTGCTATTAGAAGGTCAAATACCCTGGCCAAATTCAAGAGGGACATCAAAACTCACCTCTTCACGTCTGCATTTTAGGGTCTCTGCAAAGGCGTCATGTAAATACCACCCTTTATTTGTTCAATTATGTACACATTGCTTGCTTTAATGTATAAACATAATTGTAAGCCTTTGTTTATGTTTCAAAATTATACATATATCTATTATCCATATGTTGTAAAGCGCATTAGAGTAATTTTACAAATTAAATAGAGCGCTATATTAATGTTGTATGTTTTTATTATTACTATTAACTTACCTTGCCATGAGCTATCTCCTGTATACGAATTGACTTTACTTATCTTGCCATTAAATATCTCCTGTAGACGTATTCACTTGACTTACCTTGCCATTAGCTATCTTCTGTATAAGTATTGACATAACTTATCTTGCCATTAAATATCTCCTGTAGACGTATTCACTTAACTTACCTTGCCATAAGCTACCCCTGTATAAGTATTGACTTAACTTACCTTGTCATTAGCTATCTGCTGTATAAGTATTGACTTGACTTACCTTGCCGTTAGCTATCTCCGGTATAAGTATTGACTCAACTTACCTTTCCATTACCTATCTCCTGTCTAAGTATTGACTTAACTTACCTTGTCATTAGCTATCTGCTGTATAAGTATTGACTTGACTTACCTTGCCGTTAGCTATCTCCGGTATAAGTATTGACTCAACTTACCTTTCCATTACCTATCTCCTGTCTAAGTATTGACTTAACTTACCTTGTCATTAGCTATCTGCTGTATAAGTATTGACTTGACTTACCTTGCCGTTAGCTATCTCCGGTATAAGTATTTACTCAACTTACCTTTCCATTACCTATCTCCTGTCTAAGTATTGACTTAACTTACCTTGTCATTATCTATCTCCTGTTTAAGTATTAACATAACTCACCTTTCCATTACCTATCTCCTGTATAGGTATTGACTCACATTACTTTGTCATTAGCTATCTCCTGTTTAAGTATTGACTTGACTTACCTTGCCGTTAGCTATATCCTGTATAAGCATTGACTTAACTTACCTTGCCATTAACTCTCTCCTGTAGAAGTATTCACTTAACTTACCTTGTCATTAGCTATCTCCTGTATAAGTATTGACTTTACTTACCTTGTCATTAGCTATCTGCTGTATAAGTATTGACTGAACTTACCTTGTCATTAGCTATCTCCTGTTTAAGTATTGACATAACTTACCTTGCCATTAGCTACCCCTGTATAAATATTGACTTAACTTACCTTGTCATTAGCTATCTGCTGTATAAGTATTGACTGAACTTACCTTGTCATTAGCTATCTCCTGTTTAAGTATTGACATAACTTACCTTTCCATTACCTATCTCCTGTATAAGTATTGATTTAACTAACCTTGCCATTAGCTATCTCCTGTAGACGTATTGACTTGACTTACCTTGCCGTTAGCTATCTCCGGTATAAGTATTGACTCAACTTACCTTGTCATTAGCTATCTCCTGTTTAAGTATTGACTTAACATACCTTGCCATTAGCTACCCCTGTATACGTATTGATTTAACTTACCCTGCCATTAGCTATCTCCTGTAGACGTATTGACTTGACTAAATTTGCCGATATAGAAAATGCTAGTTTTGCTTTTGCTTTTGGTCATATTAAGGTCGAAACAGGTACAAGTGCGTTATACCCTTGTTGCTAAGTGCTGTGCATTTGTACCGTTTTAAAGGTACCTTACCCTTTTCGCTATATATGTTCCATATGCTCCAGAACATATTAGATATTACAGGAAAATTCCTTTCCCTTTTAGTGCAACTGATAATTCATATGGTGCTCTAAATTAATGCTTTGTTTAGGTTTTTGCATCTTCACTCATTTGTTATCATGTCAGTGGATAATGGCTCTGTATTTGTGATCATGATCAGAAATGACTACATCAAATAGTCCAATCGACTGTTCTCCAAAGATACATTCTTTCAAAAGGTCGATAATAAGGACCCGACGCATAAACGCGTCAAGCAGGGTGATGCCACCATAAATAGAAAACTTGACAAGGCGATATTGATCGAGACATATAGTGAACTACCTGCAGGACGACAAACCCGCAATAAGAACGTTCTATCTTCTTTCAAACCTTTAAACCCTTGTAAACCCATAACCATTTACTCAATCGGCCACCCGACGAAGACATATCCTAGTGTGTTGCCTTTATCTTCGCTCGTGTGTAAAACATCGACACTCCTACATACAACAGAAACACTTAAGATTTGTTGACGTTTTGACTTGATATATATATTGCACTGTTTATTGTATATAAATGTACACCGTTGCCCCGTGCAATGCGTAAACTAAAAGATAAGTCATTTAGGTACACTCCGTTATCATACAATGGTCTGACGACACTACCTCAAACTAAGGCTTTACGTTATTCAATTTAACGACGCACTACGTTTGAAAAACGGATTTGTTTGATAGGATGACTGAAGGGATTTCGCTACAATCAACATCACCTTTTTTTTGTAAGAGAACGTTTCTGGCTGGAGGCGACGTAAATCCCATTACAATTTTAAGGTTACACAAATGTACTTATGGCGATACATTTATTCTGAAACCAGGCTTCTGAGTGTTCAAATAACGTTATACAGGCGTTCATACATTGTATAAGATATCTCGACCCTTTAACAAATTATCTATATATTTGGTTTATATGAGTTTAATGGGTATTTAGTGTTACTTTCATGCATCTTGTTAAAAAGTCCGTTTCCTGTATTTCATTTTTTACGTATCAAAAATATACAAATGGTGTAGAACAATTTGGAAGGGTCGAATGACCTTATCAAATACAATATTCTAAATTGTTGTAGATTTAGCAAAATAGTTTATAAGGTTCAAGTAATGTCATGTCTTTTGGATTTTCAGAAACGTCTTGTATTAATAAACAGAGTTGCGGGACAGAAGATCGCACGTTACTGGATTTTAATATTTGTTTTTGCTGCGGGCTTCTGCCTGTTACTATCACATGTGTCCAACGTTGTATCTACTCCGCCTCCATTTGCCATTGTAAGGACATCAAATATATTTCTTCATCGCAATACACAAAGTGATGAAGGTCGCAGACTTAAATCTATCATTAGCGAAGATGATATATGCAACAAAGGAACATTTTTACTAATCGCAGTGTGTGTTTCCTCGTCAAATTTTAAACAGCGGTCTGTTATTCGGAACACATGGGGATCTATCGTAAGTAATAATAACAGAGTTAAACTCGCCTTTTTCTTGGGGAATCCGAACGACACGAAGATTCAACAAGCTATTTGGGTGGAGAGCGAGCGTTACCACGACATAGTTCAAGACAACTTTGTGGATTCATATAGAAACCTAACTTTAAAATCAATCTTTATTTTGAAATGGTCAAGTACATTTTGTGTAGACGCAAGTTATGTTTTGAAGGCAGACGATGATATGTTTATAAATGTACCGTATTTGATTAATTATTTAAACACGACCAATATACATAACGCTGTGATTGGACAGAGGATCGCTGCATCAAAACCAATTCGTAACAAAAAATCAAAATGGTTCACCTCGGAAAGTATGTATCGAGACAAGTATTACCCATATTACACCAGTGGGACTAGTTACGTCATTTCCGGTGATGTTGTGACGAAATTGTACCAATCGACATTCATAGAACCGTTCTTTTGGCTCGAAGACGTTTACATAACTGGTTTATGCAGAAAAAGGATCAATGCAAGTATCATTGACAACTGGGACTTCTCCTGTCTGTATCGTCCCCCTAGGGGTTGTTCGTACAAACAGGCAATATCTGGCCACAGGAACTCTCCAGAGGAGATCACTCAGATTTGGCTAGAGATGAATGATCCACGTTTAAACTGTAGTGTGTAAAGAAAGCGTATGCTTGTATATTTGTGTAAAAATCAATGCAAAAGTGGCGAACGAAAATAGAAATATATCAGATGCAAGTTTAGTGTAAATACCAGTAAAATCATGAATATTTATAATAGATTATTGATAATACATATACATGATTTGAGCAAATGTGTCCAATAAAGCATTTTTAGTGGATAGAAATCAAGGGGGCTTATCGCTTACAGTTTAAGTATATGTATGGATCTTGTATAAGAACTCAATATGTCAATTTATAGAAAAATGTTAGTTCATTTATTAAGTTATGTTTACATTTGTTGTGGCAAAGCCCTTCTTTATTACTACTAAAGTACTTTCAATAGCAGATTCATGGTATGAGACTATAACTGAAGTTGGTCTTTGCACCTCCGAGCGATTTAACAGTGTCACTACCGAACTTATCGGTATCTTCTGCTTTGATCCCGAACACCAGCTGCCTGTCTCAAGTGTCTGTGAGATCAACAAACACTTTTACGCTTGGATTTTTTACCAATTCAACCTTGTTCGGTTGCACAATCAACATTAACAACATTCCGGACTGCAAATATAACTCTAACCTGATTACTGCGGGCTTCCGTTGAGTGCGTGCGCCTGATATAGGTCGCATTAAAATCTGGAAATGTTTTACGACACTTGTTGATTAGTTGCTTATAAAATGTTATTTGTTACTATTTTATGAATTGAGAATATGATATATATATGAATTAAAAAAAAAAAGAATTATTAACGAAAGTTGTGGAGTTTTTTCAATTTTGTATGGGAAATAGCGCGTGACGTCAGCTGTTATCTTTGTGCCGTTCTAGATATTGACCTGACCTGACGGTAATAAGCGGGAAATTTGAAAAGACATAAATTATTTTTTGCGAATTCTCATTACGAAAATATAATTTTAAGCAATAAACTGCATAGATGTGGCAGACCAACTGGTATAACTGCCACATGTGACACATGTGGCAGTTATACCAGTCGGTCTGCCACATCTATGCAGTTTATTGCTTAAATATAATATTGCTTTGAATGCAGTGCACCAAACGTGTGTGCGTCACTAAAAGTACAATGACAGTATATTGGAATAGTAGTCAAATACAGTATAAACAAAATAATGATGTATTCAGGTACTAAAAAAGTAGGATCGGGTTGTCAATATTGAAAGTATATGCATACAACATAAATTCCCATTTGAACAGCATACCATGGAGAAATGTACATCCGGGTGCAACACAATGCTTTATATTACTGTTGTGCTTGAATTTAGTTGTATACAAATTCATTTATATAAATGTATAAACAGAATATCTGATTTGGGAAATGCCACACATTCTTGTATACTGATAAAGATACAAACAATTAATGTAGATCAAAGTATATGATGAATTCTATTGACTTTTATGTATAGATTAATATGTAAGATTTGTACACTTATAAAGGTACAAACAATGGCGAACATTTGTCAGTTACCGCCCCTGAATGATATAATCGGTGGCGCTCTAGTTGTTGCGGTCCCAGTCTATTTCCGGTATCAGCGGGTCCGCGGTATCAACTGGTCTGTCATTTTTATGCCGAAAACATGTTGTTGTGTCCCGTACTGCAGTGAGAGAGGAGGCCATGTATTCCCGAAGGATGAAAGAAAGAAGTTGCTATGGGTGTCGGCTGTTAACAGAAACTCGTCGGAGAAAAAGTTTGAGCGATGGATCCCAGTAAAATCGAGCGTCGTTTGTAGTGCTCACTTAACTGATGCCGACTACACAACAGAGACCACATACGGTAATATATCAGCAATGGTGTTGGGTTTATTGTTAATTGTGACCAATTAAACAAGTTTATGTGATATTAAGTTGAAATTGAGTGGTTTCGAAAACATGTGTACACGAGTCACACGACATGTTTATTACCTAAGATTCCAGTACTACTAACCCGTTCAGTCTTCTACTTCTACTTTTAAATGGTACTGACTAACTTCAACAATTTGAAGATAAAATGTCAGACAAGGAGTGAAACATGGAAAGAGATTGTGTTTAAAAGATACGAGAAGGTCTAATTTGCGTTTGAAAAGTGACGGTAGAGGGCTGATTTGAATAATTCCGTTGTGGGGCTCTAAATAATGTCAGGTGGGAGTTTATTCCACTCGGGTATAGTTCGAGGGAAGAATGATGCCTTTCTGGTCTGGGTTTTTGAGCGGGAAATTTGATACGAAAACTGGTGGTTTGTTCGGGATTTTCTAACTGTAGGGATTAATCTGTCTGATTTTACGATAGCGACTTTCTGGTTTACAATGTTATGAAGCATGACCAGACGAGCATCTCTACGTCTTTCTGCTAGAGGGCGCAGCTTTAGGTGGTCTAAATTTCTGACACACTGGAGGTACGATGGTTGTACCTGTGTTTATTGAGCACATAGCGCGTTGCCCTTCGCTGGACCATTTCCAACTTGCCAATATTTGTTTGGGTGTGCGGGTCCCATACTGTTCAGGCATACTCAAGTGATGGTCGAACTAATGATTTGTATGCCTGTACTTTGGCTGATGTTGAGCCAATTTTAAGATTTCGTCTTAAAAAGCCTAGCGTAGAATTTGCTTTTGGGCAGATAGTATTTATATGTTAATCCCATTTAAGGTTAGATGATAGTGTTACACCCAGACACTTGGCCTGACTTAGATGTTCCAGTATGTGTCCATGTAAAGTATAATTATGGACTATTGGAGTCTTTTTTTTTGTCACCGACAACACATTGCATTTGTTTGGGTGGAAGATCATTTTCAATGTATTTTCCCAGAGCGCTAGTTTGTCAAGATCTTTTTGAAGTGTTTCAGCTTCACTGTTTGACTAGATATGCAATAGTGTCGTCTGCAAATAAACAGATTGTAGCATTTAGACCCACAGGGATATCGTTAATAAAGTAAAGAAATAAACTGGGTCCCAAGACTTCTCCCCTTCAACCACTACTGTCTGAGTTCTACCGGTCAGGAAACTCTCGATCCAGTTTGCGACATTTCCACGTATACCATAATGTTTTAGTTTATGGTTTAGGTGAGAATGACTGACCTTGTCGATAGCCTTAGCAAAGTCCATTATGAGGATATCTGTTTGGGAGTTATGAGTAACTGTTACTCGGTCCAAGCCCTAAACAATCCTTACGTACATTTGTTAACTATACTATTTTGTGAATGTTTTAGGCCTAGACGTAATCTCATGTATACATTATTTCCATTTATTTCCTTGTGTCGAAGTATGAGGTACATGGATGCCATAGTTTCTTAAACACTGACTGGTAACTGTCTACCTGAGATTAAAGGATCAGGCTTCATGAACTTAAACAGGTATAAATCCGGTTGAGGTGATCATGATGACCCCACAAAAGCTGAAATTCCTTCACCATTTTGAGGTTTACTTATAAGTTTTATACCAGGGTTGTTAATTAGTGTTTTTTTGTATTTTGTTTATTTCAATAGAAAATGGAGCTGTAACTTAAACTTAAACATACATATTGTTGTTAACTGTTTTGTTCTGTTTTTTGTTTTTGTTTAATTTACTTTTGTTGTTTTGCCAAGCGTTCTAATATCATTATATATAGTCATTTTGTTTGATTCAACTTACAACATTTGAGCTGCCCAAGGATGAATAGTATCCACACATGATGACACTATAGTATTTGTAAATAATCCTTCAAAGGTAAGTTTTGATAATAAGACCAGTCACCTTGAAACTAGAACAGCAGTAACTTTATAATCTTCTCTGTGATGCACAATTTACGCATTAATTACAATGTGTAAAATATTTGAAGTACAAAGGGATGACGGGATACCAAGTTTGTTCAAATGAATAGCCTTGACCTACTTTCAAGGTCACAGAGGTCAAATGTGTTAAAATTCTTAATTTAAAAACAAAAACTTTCACTATGTATTTAAGAACTCGGGTGGCCATTAATGACCATTGGCCTCTTGTTTGTTAAAATATCTATATATTGTAATATTGATTCCAGTTGTCAAACCTAACCCCTAATGCTAGTATGTGGTATAGTGATAAACAATGTGAGGTGAGCTTTGTACCATTGGTGGTACACTCGTTTTGTTATGCACTGTTATGTAATCTGTTTGTCATCAACTTATTACTGGTTTCAAATGAAAGAAATAGATGACCACATGAACATGATATCAATAGGCCCATCACATTGTGCCTTATTAATTTTCTCTTGGGTCTATAAATCTTGTACACTTTAGGGCCAAATATTATATACACAGGCACTACCAAACAAATGAACCGTGGTATGCTTACACAGAAATAATGTAATTGTTTTTTGGACAATTTCCAGTGTATCCTGTAGAGTAACTGTTTTTCTTGATGATATGTCTTGTTTTTTTTAAAAGACTACATGAAGGAAAGGTGATTTGCATTTGTGTTTCCTTTAGCCTTGGAATGAGTATCTGTTATAATCTTTGAAGAAGAACCTTTCCAGAACAGCTTGTTTAAAGTTGAGGTTGAAAAAGATATCAAGTTCCATGTCCATGTTGTCTATACATGTGTCATCACGAGGGACAGAAATGATATTCAGGTCTTTGAAGGTGTATACCACAGGTTCACATTGTTTACGTCCTGTACAGAAGAGCTGACCCTGAATTTGATAGTAATTACTATGAGATTGGTCCAGTATAAGTTCCCCATTTTAGGTAAAGGACAGTGTCAGGGGTTACCTCACTGTCTTTTGCACTGTAAGGCCATTTGACCTCTACCAGTTCATCATCACCAAGCAGACCATCAGGAGAAGATGCTAGGTAGGGATGGGATTCACTGATGAATGAACCACATTTTTGTGTTTGTAATCCTGAAGTGCTGCTATATTGTGTCACGGTTCTTGCTAACTTCAACATATTTGTCTTGGCTGTAGCTTTACAGATGCGGCCAAAATTTGATGAGTGGATTCTAGTACATCTTTCCAGTAACCAACTTTTATTTGTAGCCTGACCTCGAGTATGTTGTTCTACCTCATTTATCTCATCAACAGTTATTTTTGTTATTTTCATGTTCTGTAACCACATGTCTGATGATGTTAATTCTAGATAGCCATGATCTGTATCTAGGGCATACGGATTTGCGGGGTTGAAAAGCTGGGATACGAGTTATTCATTTACTCTGTTATGGTTCATCCACACAGACCTAAAGTGATCCATGTAACCTGAAATATTACGGTATTGTGGTAGGCGTGGTTCATAGTTTACACATGTACACGACTCCTTTGCTAGTGGAAGGACACAGGCTTTAATAGGGATTCCATAATAGGGCTTGGTTTTGTGGAAGGATTGCAGTTTCTGGGTGCAAGTTTCCTCTGTAGCTAATCCTGACAGGTTGAGAACTTAAAGCATGCAAAAAGCAC